CTGGGGTGGAGCCCAATAAAGCTGCATTTTTAACAAGTGTCACCAGATAGCTCCAATGCAGGTAAGCTGTAGTCTACACTCAAAAGAGACTGGCCTGCTGGAGGCTTCCAAACCTCACTGGCTAGATACAGGCTTCTCAGGCTCTCCCTGGAGATACAGACTCAGCTGAGAGTAGGTCATCTGCATTCAAGGCACAGGCCTCGGTGATTTGGACAGGGTATTAAAAATCACACGTGCAGTAACATCCCATCTCCTCATGTTGGCAACAGAAATCCTCTGGCCCCTAGTTGATTTGCAGCCCTCTGTTCCTGCACTGTGTGCTCACCCCACATGCCACACAAGCTGACTATTTATGCCTCCCTTTGGAAGCCCCTCCGGTTCCCACCCCTGCTCCTATCTTTCCCCTGCCTTCACTGGGTATGTCAGTTATGCTCATCCGTTAAGCCCAGTCATCCGTGAGCCTTCTCTAACCCACATCATCTCGTCTTTTTAGCACTGCAGTTCAGACTGCTCTCAATTAGCACTAAATTAAAAACTCCAAGTAGCCCCATTTAACTCCTTGTCAATGCTGGTTTTGCCTTCCCACCTAGATTATTGTTGCTTAGAAAACAGGGACCAACTTTTATGCTTCTTTCCATTCTCTAGGAGACCTGGCATGGCTACCTGATATTTAATAATTACTATCTCAAACCTTTCCTGGAGGCAACTGCACTTAAAATGAATTCCCTCTAGCACTTAGCATGGATTTTCTGTCCAGACACTTAAAGTGCTAACTTGGGACACCTGGGTGGCTTAGTGGTTGAGTGTCTGCCTTTGGCTCAGGATGTGATCCTGGGGTCCTGGGATCAAGTCCCTCATTGGCATCCCCACAGGGAGCCTGCTTCTCCCTCTGCCTGTGTCCCTGCCTCTCTCTCTGTGTCTCTCCTGAATAAATAAATAAAATCTTTAAAAAATAAATTTAAAAAGTGCTAACTCAATGGAGTACCGCCTTATGTTAGGCTGAACCACATGAAATTTCTGGCATTCTATTTTTTCAAATATTTTGATATTTTCAATATACAACAATGACAATTTCATGTGGTATAACAGAATATATCCAACTCATTGTGGCAAACACAATGCCTGCCCAGTTGCATGGGCTAAAAAAGCAGAATTGGTAGTGATGTGTGGCAGTCAACCCCACTGGCCAACCTTAGGGCACATGAGTCACACAAATGAGACCGAATGTGGAGAAGATTACAGATCTGAGCTGGTTCTAGATAGATATCAACAAAGATACAGTTCCATTCTTGCCCTGAAATTTCTTTCTTTCTTTTTTTAATTTTTTTTAATTTTATTTATTTATGATAGTCACACAGAGAGAGAGAGAGAGGCAGAGACACAGGCAGAGGGAGAAGCAGGCCCCATGCACCGGGAGCCCGACGTGGGATTCGATCCTGGGTCTCCAGGATCGCGCCCTGGGCCAAAGGCAGGCGCTAAACCGCTGCGCCACCCAGGGATCCCTTGCCCTGAAATTTCTTTCGAATTCTCTTCGTATTTTAACTGTTTAACCTCTTATAAATTACCCAAACTCCATCTGGGAAGGCAGGAAAAAGAGCGCTGGGCAGGAACCACATAGTAAACGGAAGGGCCGGGGGGGGGGGGGGGGGGGGGGGCTGATGGGTGGTGCTGGGCTTCTCCTCCAGGCAGTGGGGAGGGATGGCTGTCAAAACAGCGGAAAAAGCCCTGTATAAGGGGTGTGAGGACTTAACTTCCCACTGAATACATAAAACATACAACATGCTTTCATATCCACATCTACTTAGGCTATTAGCAGATCATGGAAAAGGGGTTGAGAAAGGAATTCACTCATTTTAATTTCCTAGAATAGCTGACAAGTACCAAGACTTGAGTCTCTGGGTTTCTCCCAAGGAAACAATCTGGGCTGGACCCTGTATATTCAAATGAGTGTCTGATTGGTGACGGTTCACAATGCAATCTGGTGACTAAGCTTCCAACCCTACGTGTATATTTATTTCGGGGCTTCAACAAGTAAACTCTGGTGGTTGTCCACACTCATATCCTGTGATGGGATGCGACTGTGAGCCAGGACATTTATAGAGCGTTTTAAAGATAACATCGGGGGTGTCTGGGTGGTTCATTTGGTTGAGCATCTGCCTTCGGCTCAGGTCACGATCTCAGGGCCCTGGGATCAAGCCCCACATTGGGCTCTCTGTTCCTCGGGGAGCCTGCTTTTCCTTCTCCCTGTCACTCTCCCTGCTTGGGTGCCCCCTCTCTGTCCCTCTCTCTCTGTTAGATAAATAAAGTATCTTTAAAAATAATACTTTTTAAAAAAGAGAACATCAGGGAAGTGGACACAGCAAATGTACCAATCTACACTGGAGCCAGACCACTGGGCTGGAAGGCAGCTCTATGGCCTATGAGCTGTGTGATCTTGGGCAAGGCCTCTCATTCCTTCTACGAATGTTTGTGGAGCATCAGCTACTCCCACATGCCAGCCTGGGCGCTGGGGATTAACTGAAGAACAAGGTTGTCAGGCTGCTGATGGACACACTCAGACCTCCATTCCCTCATCTGGAAAGCCAGCAGCAGCGGGAGTACCCACTGCAGGAAGCTATTGAAAAGAATCAGATAAAGTGACCCATGGAAAGCCCTTCGAACAACCTCTGCCATACAGTAAGTGCTCGGGAAGTAGTAGATGCTACTACCCGCACCAGCACCATCATGGTGGCAAATTAAACTCCATGCCATCACCAAAACCAATCAAAGATCAAAATAAGCCTCCAAATGGGGCCTCTGGCTTACCCCAAAACACTAGTTAAGAAACTCAGTGAGAAAATGGAGTACCATGAAGTCTATTACAGAAAGACAGAAAAAATATTTATCACACAATGTTAAATAAAAAAATATTTCTAAAATATTCAACTATTAATAACAGCAGCAGCAAACACTATATATAGCACTTACTACATACCAGGCATTGTTTTGAGTTCTTCATATTTACTTATTTATTTTTTAAAGATTTTATTTATTCATGAGAGACACAGAGAGAGAGAGAGAGAGAGAGAGAGGCAGAGACACAGGCAGAGACACAGGCAGAGGGAGAAGCAGGCTCCCTGTGGGGAGCCTGATGTGGGATTCGATCCCCAGGACCCCGGGATCACAACTCGAGCCAAAGGCAGATGCTCAACCACTGTGACACCCAGGCACCTGAGCTCTTCATATTTATAAATAAGCAAATAATCCCCAAACCCCTGAAGTATGTGGCATCACTATCCTTGTTTTACAATGAGGAAACTGGAGCACAGAGATGTTCAGTCATTTGCCCAAGGCCATCCAGCCAGTAGCTGCAAAGGCAGGACTCAAGCCCAGGCCAGTAGGCTGGGGAGGGCAGGTGTCTGTGTTCCTGATGGTACCCGCCTGCATGGCCCCAGAGGGCAGTGTTCTGTGCAGGACAGGTGCCATGGCAACAGAGGACTAGGGAGGCCCTGCAGAGGCTCCCCTCCAGGGCAGCAGGAGGAGGGCTATGCTTTAGTAAGAGTGTTTGCAGAGCAACTCCACTCCCAGGCATACACCCAAGCATGCTGAAGACCTATGTCCACACAAAGACTTGTACACTAATGTTCACAGCAGCATGATTCATAATCACCACAAAGTGAAAACCATCCTAATGCGTGTCAGCTGATGAGCGGATAAATGAGAAATGTGGTATGTCCATACAATGGCATACTATTCGACAATAAGAAGGACGGAAGGACAGATGCATGCTATTACTGAAGCATGGGTGAAGCTTTAAATTACCATGCGAAGGGATCCCTGGGTGGCGCAGCGGTTTGGCGCCTGCCTTTGGCCCAGGGCGTGATCCTGGAGACCCGGGATCGAATCCCACATTGGGCTCCCGGTGCATAGAGCCTACTTGTCCCTCTGCCTATGTCTCTGCGCCTCTCTCTCTCTCTCCCTCTCTCTCTGTGACTATCATAAATAAATAAAATTTAAAAAAAAAAGATTTAAAAAAAAAATTACCATGCGAAGTGAAGATACTAGTCACAAAAAAATCCAGAACAGGCAAATCCATAGACACGAATTAAATTAATGGTTGCCAAAAGGGGTGGGGGGAGTGGGGAGTGGCTGCCAACAGGGTGCAAGGATTTCTTTTAGGGTGATAAAAACATTCTGGAATTAGACAGTGGCTGATGGTTGCACAATCCTGTGAATACACTCAAACCCAGTGAACTGTATACTTTAAAAGAGTCGATTTTATGCTATGTGGATTATATTTTTTAAAAAGAATCTAAGGGGATCCCTGGGTGGCGCAGCGGTTTAGCGCCTGCCTTTGGCCCAGGGCGCGATCCTGGAGACTTGGGATCGAATCCCAAGTCGGGCTCCCGGTGCATGGGGCCTGCTTCTCCCTCTGCCTGTGTCTCTGCCTCTCTCTCTCTCTCTCACTGTGTGCCTATCATAAATAAAATAAAATAAAATAATTTAAAAAAATAAAAAAATGAAAAGAATCTAAGAATAACTGTTCCCCATGAAAATCTCCAGAAGGAAGGAATTGATTTACCTGTCTACTATGGCAAATACAATCACGTTACCACTATGACTTGGCTGTAAACTGCTTCTTTCTCTTTATAGTTTTTAAATCTTAATATGTATCTTTTGTGCATTAATAAAAAACAGCTAGGAATCCCTAAAAATGTACAACTTTAAAATAAGTAATATTGCATCCATAATACATTAAGTTTTGATAAATGATACAATAACATTCAATCCAGAGAGAAAGAAAAAATAAATGATATTTTATTAATATGACTTTTTCCTTCAAAGTATATTTCACTTCCTGCTTCCCTTGTAGCTTCCTGCGGTGCTCACCATGGGCTTCATGGCAAAGAGTCACCCTGCTTGCCTTGGCATCCTGCCTCTGACATATGCTGATGGATGAGGTCAGTGCTCTGTGTCCCAGATTCCTCTCCTAAAGATGAGGATAGCAGAAAGCACTGGCATTTGCTTTTGTTTCATTTGTGGGCAAAGACTTAGACAAGAACACAAGTCCTCTCTTGCAGCCCAGAGTTCACTGTTCAGTATGAATGTTGATACAGAGGAGAAGGAACCTGATACCCAAAACACAGGAGAAGGATGGTGGGGCTGCTGATCCACAGGAAGGTTGGTTGCAGAGTTACCACAGAATCACTAAAAATACACGATATGGGGGAAGTCTCAGCTATGCTGAATTAGCATTTTGATTTTTATGCCAACTTGCAACAAATATGCCTTCTTTTTCCAAGCTTTTCACTTGAGAACCCAATGTCTGACTTAGAGGTACTGGCATATCCTCCAAATGTTTCCAGTTCCGGGGTGTTCCATGTTCCGGGGTGAACATGGTTTGGACTTCTTTATGTGAAGAGGGTGTCTGAAATTGAGAACCATCTATTCTGACCCAACACACGAGGGGAATTTTTGATGTATGTCCATATTCAAGTGGAGGTCAAAGGAGCCCAACTGGAAGAAGTGTGGATGGACAGTGCAAGTGTGGATGGAACAAATGTTCTCTTGGAAAGGGCTATTCTGAAGACTATGATTCTGACTTTGGAGGAACCAGAGTGACTGGGAGCGTAAGGAAGCACGACATCTGAAATTCCTTACATTAAAACGTATTAACTTTAAAAAGAAAAAAGGAAACCAGGGATGGCAGGAAGCATACTTACCTCATAAGACTGTGGAGGATTAAATACAAATTTGTGTTTGGAAAGCACTTAGAACAGCGCCTGCAACATTGCAAAGGCTTTATAAACGTTCTGTATTATTAATAATGCAGCAGGAGGGTGCTCTAGACACAACAGGTCTGCAGTGGACACCCCGTAGAGAGGCCCAAGGGAGTGAGTCTAGAACTCCTGACTCCAGGCACTTCTTAAAATGCAGGAAATGTATCAGTCCACTCAAAAACATAAGCTAGATAATCTGGTAAGGTTATTTACACAGGTCAGAGAGCAGAATCTCAGGTCCCCACAGACCTACTGTACCCAAATCTGCATTTTTAACATGATCCTCAGGCACTCTGTGTGCATGCTAGTCTGAGGCACACTGGTCCAGATGTTACCTATCTGGTCACACCAAGGAATACAATGATGCAATAAATATTTTGCTTTTCTACAAGGACAGGCTTTTTTTCGGCTACCAAACAACTATTAAAATCGAAAGATGCAGTACACAGAAGCCACAAACACCTCTTAGTTAGCAAGACGTTCTCAGAAAGGCTCAAAAATAACCTGACTGCATTTATGTGAAATGCTCTGCATCCAATCCACATTTATCAACAGTAAGATAAAAGCCACATTCGTACCTGCAAATCGCAGAGGTGCGTCTTTATCCAGGGCAATCAGAGGAGGGTCGAGGAGCACTGCATTATCATTTTCTGTGATTATGCCATGATAGGTGGGCTCAAGCCATGGTTTGTGTTTGTTAACTGTATTTAAAAGAGAAAAAGATGGAAATACACCAGGTCAGAATTATTAAACTCCACTGCTTTTTAATAAAAACACCCATCTATTACTAAAATAACAAAACATTCATTAGTCTCCAGGCAATAATTGTTTGTTTGTTTTTAAGATTTTATCTATTTAGGGACACCTGGGTGGCTCAGCGGTTTGGCGCCTTCCTTTGGCTCAGGGCATGATTCTGGAGTCCCAGGATCCAGTCCCACATCGGGCTCCCTGCATGGAGCCTGCTTCTCCCTCTGCCTGTCTCTGCCTCTCTGTGTCTCTCGTGAATAAATGAATAAAATCTTTAAAAGAAAAAAAAGATTTTATTTATTTGAGAGAGAGAGAGCAAGCACCAGCAGGGGGAGGAGCAGAGGGAGAGGGAAAAGCAGACTCCCCACTGAGCAGGGAGCCTGAAACAGGGCTCCTTCCCAGGACCCCAGGATCATGACCTGAGCCAAAGGTAGATGTGCCACCCAGGTCCCCCAACACTTGTGTTTTGTGCAGTTTGGTATTAAGACCCTAATGGGATTAATCCCAGAGTAAGTAATGTAGAAACTGAGTCTATGAAGCAATCAGAATTGAGAAATAAGCTGCTCTAGAAATTAAGAGAGACTGATGGCTATAGACAAACCATCTGTTTTTAGCCTATCACAGGAAAGTTACAAAGAAAAAGACACTAACACTTCTTTATGGCAATAAAAATATAGAATCACCTATTTAAAACTAGCATTATGAACAAAAATAGTAAATTTATGAACATCTCAAAAAAGAAAAAGAAAATTTATGAACATAAAATTACAAATATAGAGTATAAATAAAACTAAATGCAAAATTTCTGAAAAACTTTACTAAAAACAGGGTTTGCAAATAACCCACGTAGAGGTCAGGCCGACTTGGGGTCAAATTCCAGCTCCCTTCTATTTCTATTGTTCGCTGTGTGACCTTGAGTACATAGCTGACCTCTTAATCTCAGTCTCCTCACCTGTACACTAGAGACACCCTCGCAAGCCACAAGGCTGGGGCAGATCACTGGAACGGCTACCTGTATCCCTCTTAGATGGGAACCAGCACTGCTGCTTTCATCTGTAAGGTAAGAACTGCCATCCTAGTGGTCCGCTCACACCAGTGAAATCCAAGTTTCATTCCTATCCATTGTTTTTGCCTGGGGCCTGGCTCCCACGGACCCTGCGTGAGACCTTCTCCCACTGAGAGCCAGGGCCCTCTCTGAGTCCCCATTCCTCCAGCATATAATGGGCAGCCCAAACCTTTTTCATTTCTTTTTGCCTTCACGAGTGCACACATCATAACCCTGGCATGTATATTCCTGCCCCAGCTGAGCCGATCTAAAGCAGAAGGAATGGCATGAAACTTCATTTTCAAGGAGACAGTACCTATTTGTCAAATGAACTACCTGCTTCTTTTCTGTAAGTCCATCTTCAGAAGGATCTAAAACTAAGATTCGGAGCACTTGGGTGGCTCAGCGGTTTGGCACCTGCCTTCGGCCCAGGGCGTGACCCCGGGGTCCCAGGATCGAGTCCTGCATCGGGCTCCTGCGTGGGGCCTGTTTCTCCCTCTGCCTGTGTCTCTGCCTCTCTCTGTCTCTCACGAATAAATAAAATCTTTAAAAAAATAAAAAATAAATAAAAATAAGATTCAATGATGTGATACCATGTGTCTGCTGTTGCTTGATGACCATTATGTGAAGACAGGAGACTGTGCCAATCAGAAGCACCAGGCTTCACCTGTATTTACTCTGATGTGGCGTTCACGTGTGCCATTCTGAACTAGCAGGGATGCAAGGGGAGAAGCTATCGTCTCACTAATTAATGACGCATTTACCAGACATTTATACATGCCATACCTAAACCAAGAGCAAATCCTGTTGTCTTCACTTGCAAAATAAAGCCAGACCCATGGGAGCTGTTTAGTGGGTATAGAGTTCCAATTTTGTAACAATTTTGAAAACAGTTCCAGGAATTGGCCGCACAGCAAAATGAATGGATGTACTTAACACAGTGTGCACTTCCAGTGAGAGGTTTTACATGTACGTTACCACAATTTAAAACAAAATCCAGGGCAGCCCAGGTGGCTCAGCAGTTTAGCGCTGCCTTCGGCCCAGGGTGTGATCCTGGAGACCCAGGATCGAGTACCACGTCAGGCTCCCTGCATGGAACCTGCTTCTCCCTCTGTCTGTGTATCTGCCTCTCTCTCTCTGTCTCTCATGAATAAATAAAATCTTAAAGAAAAAAAAAACCCACACATAAAATCCAGACAGAGCCATTTCTCATCATCTGTGCTGCTCACCTGGAGTATCTGCAAAATCCAGGTAACCAACCTCACCCTTACCCTCCTGCATGTGCTCTTCACACAGCAGCCAGAGGGAAGCTTCTAAACCAGTGGTTCTCTGCCTCTGTTCCCAGAGCCCATGGACCCCAAATGTTATTGAGGACACTAAATGGCTTTTGTTCATGGGGGATCTATTATCTGGCTACTTAATCAGCATTTACTGCCCCAGGAATCAAAAATCAAGAAAAAATTTTATCATTTACCAATTCATTTTTAAAAACAACATATGTTAACATAAATAACATTTTTATGGGAAAAAATATATGTATTTAAATTTTATTTACTTCAGAGAGAGATAGTGAGTGCAACCAGGGGGAGAGGGAGATGCAGACTCCCCAGTGAGCAGGGAGTCTGACTCAGCTTGATCCCACGACCCCAGGGGGTTAAATGCTTAACCAACCTGAGCCACCCAGGTGCCCCAATAACTATATTTTTAAAAATAGAGTTTACTAAGAAGGGTGGCAATGTTTTCTATTTTTGCAAATCTTTCTACCATCTGGCTTAACAGAAGACAGCCGAGTCCTCACTTCTTCTGCAGTCAACAGGCTGCCCTGTCACATGTCATGCAGCCTCTAGAGAACTCCGCCAGACACGCAAGAGAGAATGAGGAAAAAGGCAAGTAAAATCTTAACATTATTAAAATAGCTTTGACCTCTTCGAACCCAACAGGGTCTCAGGGGACTCATCACCTCACTCAGGTCTCTGTTCTAACTTTCCCTCCTCCAACTACTACTACTGCATCTGCTGCTTTGGTCCTCACTTCCCTTTTTCCTTTCCTTCTGCTACTCATCGGCACACTGTCAAACATAGGGCAGTGGTGCCAACCTGGAGCCTCAGGGAAGGTTACTTGGCTTCCTCCATGGGTCTCAGTTTCCCCATTCATAAATTGAGGACAGCAATAGTACCCACTGGATAGGTCGCTATGTGATCAAACTAGTCACATTTTGTGACATGTTTAGGACACAGTCCGGCACTCGGTAAATGCCCATAGGTGGTGGTATTATTTCTCCTCTTCCACTCATTCATGAACAAAAATAGATTCTGGGAGAGTGAGACCTCTTGTTCTCTGTTAATTCCCAACACCTAGCACCACGTCATTACTCAGGAACTACTGAGTAAATGGATGAGTATATAAGGAATCTCATGTGTAGTACAATTAAAGTCAGTGCTCTGGTTTGTAAACTGTCTCATAGAGAAGGTAGTTTGGGTGCTGAGAGCTGAAAAAGAGGTATGACTTGGAGTTTTAGACATTGCAAAGGTGCTTTTTGTTTCTGGCAGGTGGATGTTCC